TTGGACAAACGCTCACTGGATGCAATTGAAGGTCACTGGTCTCATATTCACCAGACCTTACTAGCAGCAGGAAAATCCTCATGTGGTATGTCTAATCACCAACATGGACATTGGGTCTCTTCACAGTCTCTGGAACTTATAGATGCTCGCCGGCAGATTCCGGCTGGAAGCGAACAGAGTGAAACTCGCAAAGAGCTCCGGGCAAGACTCCGTGCTGGCCTGAAGAGAAACCGCGTATCCTGGTGGTTTCACCGTGCGTCAGAGATGGAAGTGGCCGCTGTCCTTTGGAAACATAGTAAGCTATTACGGCTGATAGGGGAAACGGGCAGCAGGAGATCTGTTGTTAGTGAAACTATACGTGACGACAATCGAAATCATATCCAAAATTTGTCAAAATGTTTGGAGTGTTTAGCTGAGCATTTTGAAAAACAATTTAATCTGCTAGAATTGTTCGATTTTTTGCCGGCCAGTGATTGCCCTGCTCCGTGGGCTGTCCCTTTGGATCCACCCTGTCGCTCAGAAGTCAAACATGAGATCGGACTGTTGAAGTTGAACAAAGCCGCGGGACCAGATGGTCTTCATCCAGTCCTATTCAAATTCGGAGGCTCTGCTCATGTTAATGCTTTAGATGAAAAACTACTGAAACTGTAGGAGCAGGAAACTGTCCCAACCGACTGGAGCCGCTCCGTTATTGTTCCCATCTTCAAAGGAGGCTAGCGTTTGGAATGCGGCAACCATAGAGGAATCAGTCTGATCTCCATCGCCTCCAAATTACTCGCCTCCATAATCCTTCAAAGACTGACTGGCGCTCGTGCAAGCCAGATTCGTGAGGAGCAAGCCGGGTTTCGTCCAGATCGTGGCTGCATCGACCACATCTTCATCTTGCGTCAGTTGTTGGAGCATCGTCACACAAATAGGCGGCCCACCGTAGTCGTGTTTTTTAACATCAAAGGTGCCTTCCATTCGGTTGATCGATGCGCCCTTTGAAATTGTCTACTCAGGAAAGGTGTACCTGAGAAATATGTGAATATTATCCGAGCATTATATGCGCGTAGCTCGGGCAGAGTGAGGGCTTACGGCAAGCTGCCGCCACCCTTCAATATCTCCAGCGGTGTGAGATAAGGATGCCCGTTGTCACCTTCCTCTTCAACCTCGCTATTGAGGAAGTCATGGAAATCGCGTTTACAGGATACGACTTAGAAGGTGTAGAACTGCTCCCAGTAGAACGAGTTCTTGACTTAAAGTTTGCTGATGATATTGCCCTAATCTGTGACAGCTTCCAGACGTGCCAAGCGGCACTGGACAGATTTGCACAGGCTGTCAGCCGCCTCGGGCTTTGTTCCCCCCACCCCATCGAAATGCAAAGCGTTCCTCCAAGGTTGGCCTGGACCGCCTCCTTCGCTGACCCTTGGTAAGGCTCAGCTACGAGTTGTTCAAAAATTCAACTACCTGGGTAGTTGTATCAGCGCCTGTGGGATTAAAGATGAATTCACGAACCGTATAGCAAAAGCTCGAAGAGCTTTTGCTAACCTTCGCCACCTATGGCGGCGGCGCAACATTACTCTCGCCCTGAAGGGTAGAGAGTACAATGCAGCGGTAGGTTCGGCCCTACTGTACTGTTGTGAAACCTGGCCCCTAATATCGGCAAACATGAAGAGGCTAGTTACGTTCGATCATCAGTGCCTTCGCAATTTGGCTCACATCTGTTGGGAATACCGAGTAAACAACGAGCGTGTTCGACGCCTTGTTTACGGCACAAGAAAAGGAAATGAACCGTTCAGCAACGTTGTTTCACGCATCAGACTACGAGGGTTCGGCCAGGCGTTACGCATGCCAACCCACCGACTCCCACGACATGCGTTGTTTTCTCGCCGGGGTGTGGATGGAAGAAGATGAGGGGTGGTCAAGCGATGAATTGGTCCAGAGGAATGGAGTCCCTCACTTCTGAGCCGGCCTCGGTTGGAGCGTCTCGGCGCCATGGTTGGGGTCCGATAGACGATAAACAAGTTTGGCTAGATACACTTGCTGGCACTGCTAGGAGCCGACCTCAGTGGCGTTCCTGCTGTGAGTTTCTTTGTCCCTTCCCATCCCTTTTAGTCTCCCCCTCCATCTACGATCTCATTTCGTAGCGTAAAACATAATACTTATTCTTGTTGTCTAATAGCCGGCTGGTAGCTTACCGGAACGATGCCTATCCGTTGCTGGTAGCTCAGCTGGCACGCCACTAGTTAGTTATTTTCCTTTTCCTTTATATATTGCGGCACAGTAGCTGAGGTGTATAATGATATAATGAGGATAGTTCCTTGCTCTGTAATGCTGCTTGTGAGAAGAACTTTGGCGTATCTGTGTCTCCTGAGTTGGGCACTACCCAGAACACAATGAGGAGGGTAAAGACTGCTAATAGGATGTTCTGTGCCATAACGATAACTTTTTCCGCATGATTCCTGAGAACTTCAGACTCCTGTTTACTCCCTATTTGCGTCCTATTCTCAAAGATGGTTCAGCTGCGGTTTATCCTGACAAAGACTGAACGTGTTCTCATAGGGAGTATCCAACGGCGAGGATCAAAATGGATCTCAGCGATCCGGAATTTGTCCTACACCCAGCAACTTTGAACGATGAACATATTTTCCTTGGATTTTCGTCGTCGTCTTCCTGGCGATCTGATATACATCAGACGCATACTGCTTGAGTTGATGGGAAATGAACTGAAGGAGTTCGTTCAAAGTAGTGTCATTAGTTTGACACTGGATCAATTCGAGAAATTGTTTAAGCCATGGAGTCTCCGAGTCCATTTCGATGATACCTTGTCCACCCAGGTGGTGAAGGACTGGAATAATTTACCTTAGGCAGTCGTTAGTGCACAGTGTAAGGAAGGTTTTAACGACTGTTGTACTCATATATTCTGCGTAAGCAATGATCGAATTTTTCTTGGTGCAATCGTGACCGTCCCTTGTGGGACGACGTTGGGGGAAATTCGCGATATTCCTGCTTTGAAGGAGAAGTGAGGGAGCTGACACAGGAATTCCTTCTGTTCTTTGCTGTTCCAATGAACTTCAATCCCATATAACATTCTTATGCTACTCGTACGAATATTCATCCACATCCTATAAGACTCTGAGCACTCGTTATCAAAGCACCTTTGCAATCCTTAAATACTATATTGGGATTATAAATGCAGTAATGTGAGTAAAATCAACACTGGTAAGGCGAAAACATGTGCTTTCCGAAAAAACGCAGAGGAAAGAAATGCAAGTGCGTGCTTTAGAATAATAACATATCCTTGCAACATTAAATAAAGTTGAAAAGCAAAATAAGCTGTAAAGAGTCTATAATGGTGTGATATCCTTTTCATAAAATAGTAGGGTGTTCATAGTGATGTTTTGACCCCAACAAAGAGCCGGAGCGTGTCGGTCACAAAGCAAAAACTGGCAGAGTGCAATCAGGGAAGAAAGGTTCCGTCAGGAGCAGAGCAGGGATTGTACGATAAACTAATGGTTTCGATAGTCGCTGCTGGCGTTAGGCTGAGGAGAACAAATGAGCAATAATCCTAATAACAGTAATAATGCATATTGTGTCAGTTGTACGTCGTAACGGTGTTTCGCCGCCGTGCAACCACAACCAGGCGCATGCGGGCGGAGTAGACTGCTAGGACGCCCACACCTACGCGGATTCGAACCCGAGCCGCAGGATTACGAGACAATCTCTTTACCTCTAGGCTACCGGCCGACATAACTTTCAATCATGTCATGCCTAATGCATGGCAAAAATTGGATATATTCCAGGTCAGGTCAGGTCAGGTCAAAATCCGTGGACGATACAGGCTTCCGCCTAACGAGCGTCCAGCTTCTTGTACCGGTAAGCGAACCAGAGCCCCCGGCACTTCGACTTTTGATCGCCTCTCCTTGCCTCTGCAAAAAGAAATGAAGCAAAAGAGAGAGCAATCTTTGCTTTTACAAGGATCAACATCGGATATCAATGCGAATAAATTGGATAGGATTATATTAATTCCGGAAAAATACGCGGCCAGCACCTGTCTAGGCCTGCTTTGAAGGCAACCACAGTCTCACAATCCATTAGTTCCGAAGGCAACTTATTCCAGTTGCGCACTACACGATTCGAGAAGAACTTAGCCCTGACGTTCAGTCTAGCCCTCTGCTGTTTGAGCTTCAAGCGATGTCCACGCAAGCGTTCAGAATCAGCCAGCTCAAATAAATCAGAGGGCACGATGGCACTGAGGCTCTTCATGATCTTAAATGTTTCTATCAGATCGCCTCTCAGTCTACGCCGTTCAAGGGAAAACAACCCCAGGCTCTTTAGGCGATCTTCATACAGCTTCCCCCGTTGACCTTCAACCATCCTGGTTGCTAGTCTTTGAATCTTCTCCAGGCAAAGAACATCACCACGGAGATAGGGTGACTAAGATTGAACACAATACTCTAAGTGTGGCCTAACCACTGCTTTGTATAGTGGCAGGAACACTTCTGGCTTGGTATTACACAGAGTCCTCCTGAGGCGAAACAATTCTCGTCGCGCTTTGTTGGCGGCGTATCGACATTGCATCGAAGGCTTGAAGCTGCTCGTCATGATGACTCCTAAATCGCGTGCCTGGGTAGTGCATTGTAAGGGGAAGGGCCCAAAGGAAGTCTGAACTGCAAGTACGTCCCTACTAGTGGTCAGAATTTGGCACTTGCTTGCATTCAAGGGCAAGTCCCATTGCTTCGACCAGGCAATAATATTATTTTCATTGGAGTGTCAGGAGCAGTAGAGAGACCTGTTGTCAGCTCCATCTTTTCCCGATCATTCCACGGACGCCTCGATTTGTTGCGAAACGTGGTTCCACAGGGAGCGCTGCAGTTGCAGTGAAAAGAGCAAGTCCACGACATACACAGCAGCTAAAAGTTGTTACACGGCACATGGCCACATAACTCTTGTTGCGCTTAATCAATTGCGTAATAATTCTATGAAACAAAACGCATCATACCACAAAGGTTGCTTACGCTTGGTGAAACACGTGATCCCTTGACCGCTGGCACGAGTTACTCACATATCCCTGCTGGGAAAACAATCGTGCAGCTAAGTCATTAGCCCTAATTTTTGCATTATAGCGACAAGGGGAGGTTGACAAACCTCCACACGCTATTACTTCATTTGCGCAATTTATAAGCATTCTGTAAGCCGGAATAATATTAGTTTTAATGTAGCCATTTCCCTTAAATTTAGCTGTTGTTAACATTGCTAGAATTTTAAGGGTGCGTCTGTATTTCTTTCGCAAGTAGATCTATGTCTTCCTAACTTGACTTAATATATCCGTTCATTTCTTGTTAATTTTACATAGTTTGCGTATTGTATATTGGTTATATCCATATATTAAAGACGTTTAGTTGTACCACTAAACAACTGACGTAAAACTGGCTCCTGCCAAAGTATAACTGTAGCGGTTCCCAAACCAACGCGTTGTTTTCAAAAGCCCAATTAATACAAGTTGGGCCGTTGTTAAGGACTTGGAAGGTTAAAACAAACAAATGTTTATTGTTAAAAGTGTACAATCATTTTCTTTCCTAAAATTATATTTACAATCTTTGATGTTCTTAGTTTGTATATTATTATTTGTTTGTGCAACAACCCTCGAGACAACGATCACCGGGAAATCAGTTGGTTAGTGATCAGCGTTTATAGAGTAGTAGAGAGCAGAAGGGAATACCGGAGTCGGCTCTATAACCCGTTCATTGGCTGGATGATGGATGTCGTTGGTAACCTATGTTCCCGAGAGATCGTTATATCCGCAGCAAAACATCGGGATCCGGGCATGCTCAGCATGTGAATATCCAATCGTTGTTTGTAACATCCCTCTGTGCACGAACCACCTATATAATGAGGTTATTCCATTCATTCATGAACTGCGTGGATAATCCGACATCGGAGTGGGTGCGGTGCATCCACCGTTTAAAAATGTTGCAGCTGCGCCCCCTTGTCGAGCACTTAACGGTGAAACGCAAATGTGGTTGCCTTTTTCCTCAAATCTCACCTTTATATGCCTCTGGTGTAAATCATATATCAAAGGCGACGACGGTGGTCTATTGAAGACAATTTCTTACGTTGAATCCGAAAGGAATATGAGAAAAAGCGATTTTACGGATATAGATTTGGATCCAACCTTCGAATAATTATGATTAAATCACATTCACGCTCCGTGCGTGCGTGTATAGCAGGTCATCTATATTCATGTATTGATGAAGTTGAGGGTAGAAAAGCGTTTCATGGTCAGCGTTCTTTAAAACAAGCAGCATAAGAACTGCGTACCTAAAAATAATGATATAAAATTAGATACAATATTAATGGTGAAATAATGGAAACACATTACTGAAATGATAGATGATATAAAAGTAGAAAAAACAACTTTTAAATTGATAATTACTAATAGAAATCTACGATTATACACAAATGCTTAGATGCAAGCATTTAGTACAAGCTGTTTATGTTTCCTCCACCCATGGCTCTAACAATAACTGTCCTACCCGAACAGTCGACTCGATTTCGGCCGCTTTAGGTTCCATGCTTTGGGCACACTGGACGATCGTACAAGAAAACATGTGCTTGAACGTCTAGGCGTCACCCTGCTAGCACAATCGTAACAGCAATCGTAGCGCACAGGACGGAAACAGGACAACCGTCCAGCTTATTAATAAAACGTTTTTCTTAGTTGGTGGCAATTATTTTACTTATTTATGCTAAATATATTATTGTTGTGCATGAAAAACGCGCTAAACCTGAGTAATTATTCAGGTGGTGGACGTCGTTTACCTAAATATTTAGGCAAACTTAGTTTGGGCGGGGCTAGTTTTTTGTACAAATTGAATACCGCACACTCTGACGGCCTTTATCTATTGCTAATTCTATGTAGCACATTGAGAAGCTTGTCACCTTTAATACACTATTTTTGTGCAAAGGCGCTAGAAGATTGTTTATCGTCAAATGAAGCATATAAACCGAACTTTATGGGGTATGCTGCGATGTGGTATTTACGGAAATATACTCAGCATTCTGATTGGCCACGAATTGAGCATTTTGATTAGTGCACCCTAAAATGGACGATATCAAATCTTTGCCGCCCTACTGGGCACCTTCCTGTCTTGTTTAGCCTTATATCTTTAAGATCTTTAGGAGAAGCGTCTATTCTGCAACTAGCAAAAGTCGCTAGAGGATAGCCACTGCGTGGACGCAGTCAAGCTTGCCAAGTATGGAACACTTACAGAATGGCCCGCGGAACGATGGCATTTGTAAGAGTCTGGAGATTCCCCAGTTTGAGTGTGTAACATTCTAACTAAACTTATTTCATTGTACACATAGGCGACCGGTGTGGCCTGTTGAACTGATAACTGAGCTCGAATGTTTGGCTTGCTCATCGCCATTTTTGCTTGACGTTCGTTTCGGTTGCAACGTGCGATTGCGTTGTGTACTGTGCATACACCGGTCCCCTCGCTAGAGTGTCAACGGTGTCGTTTTTTATAGCTGGGTAACAGGGAATCTTTTACTGTACCAATAAAGTTTCCCTGTAACCCGATCTACCTATTCGGATCGGTTTCCGGGCTCCCGCTTCAGGCTACTCTCCAAATGGGTGACCCCGACTCCTGAAGCATAACAAGCGGGACTGGAACGATAGGATTAGCACGTGAATGATCCTCCTTCAGACAATCGTTGAAAAAAGAGATAGCAGAGCTTGAAATATTGATGAACCTACAACAAAGACCGCATCACACCCCGTTCAAGCGATAAACGCCTACGTATCTTGCCCTAGCAGTCTCTGCTGTGCCGGTTATGTGAAGTAAGAAAGAAAAAATTAAACACATAAGGCATAAAGAGAAAGTGCAAAGCGCTAAGCAAATAGAATACCGAGATATTTAGGTCATTAAAAAGGAACTGCAAAGTGAAGTTGAGTGAGTTAAGAAAAAGGAAAGATTAGGTGTTGCCACCCAACAGCATCGAGCTGGCGCGCAAAATCTTGAACCGCGGGTTCCCGAGCCACGTGATCACGAAACTAATTCCAGCGATATATAAGGGCGCGACAGACGAGTTTCCGTCCTCATCCTATCAGAGTGTATTTTATGCAGTTTCAGCAGGTGCCCGCTGAGATTAGGCAACGTAGCGGGACTATATAGCCCTGACAAGTCCGGGCCGATCTTACCCGTCAAAATACAATAAGTGAGAATCAGGTCTCCTCTTATCCTTCGCTAGTGCATTGAGTGCACCTTAAACTGAGCAAGCGCTCAGGATACGTCTGCACCCATAGACCCTGCACTAACCGAGTGCCCACTCGTAACACACTCTCCAAGTCGACATGGTGGGCAAGCCTGGATACCATATTCCAGATGGGATCGGATGAATGCCGAGAATATCTTCACAAACAAATCGGCCTTTAGGATTCCGAAAGAGCGGTGGATAAACAACATCATACGAAATCCCCGACAAGCATCCATCTTCCAATTGTTGCCAGAATGAAGTGCTGATGAGTGTACGACCCCCTAAATCAACCTGCTGTGTGACAACAGGGAGTTCAACACCGCCGACAAGATATCGGGTGGGAGGATTAGCAGCTCCGATTCGGAGAACAGATCAACTGGCCCTATTTATGGGCATCAACCATAAGCTAGACCATTTCCTGAGCCAATCCAAGGCAAGCTGAAAAGCTTCAGGATACCCGAGATGTCCACAATATTACCGAGCTTATGGTGGTCAGCAAAAATTAGCGATGACACCTCTAGGTTTCCCGGCAAGTCATTTACGTAGATCACGAACAACAATGGCCTCAATACCGAGCTTTGCAGGACGCCACTAATGACAGCTTGTCTGAGCGAAAGGCTACGCCCCACACGTGCGCAATGTTCCCTCCCCTCAAGGAAAGCAGACAAACATTGAAGAGCGTGACTAGATATACCGTAAGACCTCAACTTTAGTGAGAGTCGAACAGAAGGAACAATGTCAAATGCTTTCGAAAAGTCCACGAATAGCACGTCTACAGCGTGAACACTGTCTACCGCTTCGGCCCAAATTTCATGAGCTACAAGTAGGTTAGTCTGATATGAAAATCCCTTGCGGAATCCATGTTGCGCAATACTGAGAAGGTTGAATCTATTCAGGCGATTCTCCACTGAATCCCTTGTCAGCTTTTCAAACAACTTGACCACTGCGCGTGTCAAACTCACAGGCAGGTAGTTGGAAGGCAGGGTGTCGTCACCGCCCTTAAAAATCGAACAGATGATTGCCTTCTTCCATTCCGAAGGTAGGACGCCGCTGTCAATCAATATTGAAAACACGTATGTGAGAGGACCACTCAGCTCAGTGGCCAATTCATGCAACAGATTCGGATGAATTGAATCAGGACCGGAAGCTTTAGAGGGATTAATGCCTTGCAGTAACTCGAAGACATGAGTCTCCGTTATGTTAAACTCAGCCAAACAATTATCCTCTGGAACTCTTGAAAGCAATACAAACTGTGGTAAAGAGGCCTCCCGAGCGAAGACCCCAGTATACTAATCACTAAGTATACAGGCATCGTCATGGTCAGTTCGCGAACAGACAGTTTTGCCCCGCTGCTTCTTGTAACGTAAGCAAAATACTTCTTGGGATTAGCAGCGGCTGAGTCCGCTAAACCATGCTCGTACTGGAGACGAACGGTCCTGAGATGTTACGTACATTTATTTCTAATCTGTCGATAACTATCATAGGTACTGGCTGATGGAGCTGCTTGGTAGGTTCGTCAGCAGCTAGAGCGTTTCTTGAGTGGGTACTTGCTTGTCAGATCTATCCATGGGAGATGTGCTCGTTACTCTCATTTCCTCATGATTGTATATAGGGATTGGAAACCTCCGTAAGATGTATGCCTTAAATTTATCCCAGGCTGACTGGACAGGGTCGATCATGGTGATCTCACAGTTCAGAACTGAAACCTTAGCTCGCATTGCAGTAAAGGCCGCACGCCAAATATCCGGCAGTAACTCAACAGCGGTCTGTTGGTGCCTCGAAAGGGCACACCGAAACGCTATGCAAGTATGATTTCTGGACCCTGAGGGTGCACCGTATGAAACCTCAGTCATGAAGTTGAGGGACAACGAAAAGCACATCTAAAGTAGATGGTATTTGGTTGTCCATATACGTAGTGGGGAAATCCAC